GATTTTAGAGAGCGATTGGGTTTTTAGAAAACATAGGTTTTTAGATAGAGAAAGAGAGATTGGGTTTTTAGAGAGAGAAAGATAATGTGTTTTTAGAAAGAGAAATAGAAATTAGGTTTTGAGAGAGAGAAAAAGAGAATAGAATTTTAGAAAGAGAAAGAGAGATTGAGTTTCTAGAGAGAGAGTGGTTTTTAGATAAAGAAAGAGATTGAGTTTTTAAAGAAAGAGAATGGGTATGAGAGAGAGAGATTTGATTTTTAAAGAAAAAGAGAGTGGTTTCTAGAGACAGAGAATGAATTTTTAGAGATTTCTTTTAAACATTATCTATCTATTCCCTCGGGTCAAATTTACACTAAGAATATCGGTTATATATCCCAAATATTGGCGATGTGATCTTGAGAATCCTGCTACCAAACTCAAAGGTAAAAAAGAAAAGTAACTCTATCTCTATGTGCCTAAAAAGAATGGTTACCCAAGATTGTATTGTGCCATCCAATTTTGGAGGGAATCATCTTAAATATTCAAGAGCTCAAAATCAAACTTTTTTCTTTTATAATAATCATCAAAATAGATGCTCAAATTTCATATAAATAAAAATCTCCAAGTGTTTTGCCCAATAGAGTAAATATATGGTACGCTCCATCGAAATTATAACGTGCTCTTCACCATCTATGTGTGCTCCCATGCGGTTCAACATTGTACTAAAGTCTATTGAACTTGGTCCTAGGTGGGGTTAATATGACGCTTATGATGGAGGGAGAGACATTATTTTAAGATCTAGAAAGAGAAATCATTTTAAGACTAAAAATTCATATAACAGTGATATCAATACCTAATCAACATTTCATGTCTTCCGAGGGAGGGAAAGAAAGAATTAACAAATTAAAATGTGTTTGGATATAATGGTTGACTAATTTGTTAGTCATCTAATTGGTTAGTCATCTTATAGATGGGTGACTTTCAAGATGTCGTATTCATTAGATAATTAGCAGTGCCTTCTCAACAATATCTATAATAACAATTAAAAGTTAGAAATAGTAGAACATTTTCATAAGAAATCTAGACTGTACTACCAAACATGAGAAAAAAAAGCGTATGAAATCTAAATCTAAGAAATCAATTTCCTAAGAAATTAATTTACTACAAGAAAACTATTTCACGTGTACCAAACGTGCCCAAATAAAATAGTTTTGCCCCTTCAATTTCTCAATGAAATGTTTGCATTCTTTCAAAAAAAAACACTAAGAAAATAGTTGAAGTATTCCTAATCCTATAACAAATTGGTTTAAGTGAAATTCACAAACTAATACCTAGCTAAGATTTGGAAAGTATCACTCTCCATTATCATGTGGGTTTAGGCAAGAAAGAAACCACAAAGTAAAACATGGTTAGAAAGCACAACATACAGAGGGTTCTAATGAAAGTAATTTTGAAGATCAAGAATAGCATCATGGAAAGTATGTTCGTCCCATCAAAGGAATGAAAGAACTTTATATAGAATATAGGAAATCAAACTCGAAAGCACTCAAATAGTTCATGAATAAACCCTGAGTGTCATGAGGGCGGAGTATGTGTGAAAGGAATCAATAGAGTTGAGGGTTAGTCAAAGTTAGTTATGATTTATGACTTATAACTAGGGATGGCAACAGGCTAGGTGGCCCGGCCCTAAATAATTAGGGCATGGGCCACAAAATGTAACTTTTTTTTTATCTTCTTTCATTTTGTTTTCCTTTAGTTTTGCATGGCTATGCCCAGATAGGGCCAGGACCAGCCCTCGGTAGGGCTAGGGACAAGGTAGGCCTGGCCCATTACCACCCCTGCTCGTAACTGTGTGATGGTCATGGCCTTATGTATGAGATTAGTTAAGATTGATTTGTAGTGATATGAGCTTCATTATCCTCAAAAAATTCTCATGGAATGTGCATTTACAATTGTAAATGGGTAGATACTCTTTCAAAGTTGATCCACTAGGAAGAGATATACAAGTGCTGAGGGAGGACCCACGTATCCATTATAATGCATGTTCTCTTGGGGGGTACTTGTGGTCCACTACAACCTGAGAGTCCTTAGCCACATATTGGATTGACTATGATAAGCTAAGCAAGAGCCCCTACTTGATATTATGTTTCATGGTTTGTTGCATCATTTTGATATGGCAAATTTGGATTCTATCTCTAGCTATGTAGAGTGCTCCAATACTCAATTCATTTCTATAGGATCCTAATTTCCCTCATGAATATTTTATATAATGTCAAATTGTGTTATTTTTATTGAGTATGTTCAGAGAATATTTAGGGATTTTTTAAGATTATTTTGAATTTTAATGAGTCAAAGTTGGGGATTTAAAGAATTATTTTGGCCTAATGACAAACAAGGACATGTCACATGGATCCCACACGTGACACCCAAATGGCCAATGGGTGGAACATGGAACCAAGTGGGTCCATGTCAGCCCCACATATAGATGACGTGAGGGGGATGTCAATACCGTGGTGGATCCCCTTGTCTTTTGTGAATTTGTTCATGTTGTGATTTGCGGTGTATTTATTGAATTTTGTGAAAATGAAAATTGGTTTTTGAGCATAAATTTTATGTGTCGAATTGGTAGTTGTGTGCACATGGGGAGAGCTTCTAGAAAGGGTATAGGGTTTGATATTATGATTAAAATCCTAAGCCAATATAGAATTATGTATATAACCACCCTATGTGGCATCATATGATTGGCTGCACATGCACAACCATGTGACATGGAATTAGAGGCAAGTTGCAAATTTAAATTGCTTATAGAATATGAGAAAAATTACCATCGAGCTACACCCCTACCTTTGTTTATTCATTCAATTAAAGTGCCTTAGCATGGGCATTTATAGAAGAAAATTGAATTAAATGGGGAGGAAAGTGGTTAAATCTCACTTATGGTGAGTGATGAGTGACTAGAATGAAACTTCTCTCATCCCATAGATTATTGACTTCAATAATCAAAATTAACTCATTTAGAAGCATCTCTACACTTCCTAAGTACCACCTTGGTTGCAATTAAGTCATTCAATTATCTCATAGTGTGACATGCTCCTCCCAAGGTTTCTCATTTCTCATTTGTGTGTTGGTTAGTATGACAAAGTGCTGCGTGTAGAGTGAGGGTTAAGTGAAAAAATTAAGAGTGGAAACTTCATTAATGCTTCATCTCAAGCTTGGAGGCCATACCTGAGCTTCTTAGAGTTTCAATTTTGGGGATTTCTTTATCTAATTCATACATTCTTAAAGCCTTTTGTTGCTGTTAGCTTCACTTTACAGCAAGGTATAACTACTTCCTACCTTCTTTATTCATTTGTTCATGAGTTTAGATCGTTCATAGAGTCCAAGCCCTTGATCCCTTGTCGATTGAGTTCAAATTTGGAGGAATTTTCATGGTGTTTGTACGAGATTTAATTGACTAAACTTTCTGAGATTTTGGATCCAAATCAATCAATGAAATTATCCCTTTGTTGATTTAATTTTGTAAGAATACAAGGGGAAATTTATGTCGAAAGTTTCCCCATGACATGCCTCTTAATTTCTCACCAAATTTAGGTTGATTCCATGCCTACTTCTCTCCACGACTTTATTTCTCTTGGGTCCAAGTTAATTGAGCCCCTCTTCATTAAAATGCCATAGAAAGTGTGTATCCAAAGATGTTAATTACTTCTCATGAAGGTGATGATGTGAAATTGCCCCAAGTATTAATTGCAATCAAGAGAGTCACCTTCTAGTATGTTGTCAAGACCTTGGCCGTAAACCAGGCACATTGAGCTTTAATTGCCTTCTCAGGACAATGATCCATTGATTACTTGAACATAATTGAGTTTGTAATTTGGATATTGAGTGTTGTGGTGTTTTGTATTTGAAATTCATGTATAATTTAGCACCGTATACATACGTAGTGATGATATGTTTTGGCATTTGAATTTGTATTCTTGTATGCTCAATTTCAGCTTTAGAATATGTAATTTGATTCAAATACTTATAGGAGTTAATTGTTGATATGTACTTCATCCCAATGAATATCTAACACTCCGATTATACATGGCCCAAAAAAAAAAAAAACTTAGTCATCAAAAGACAATAATTTTACGTTTTTTATTTTTTCGAAATCATAGCATTACTTGATTTGATTTTCCCTAAATTTGAGGTTCTTTTTATTTATTTATTTGGTTCCATTTTAGCAAGTTTCAGTCGCACTCGCCGAGTTGATTAGGGACTTAGTGAGCCAACCACTCTTGGTCCACGGCCTAGTCCAGTTTTTTAAATATTGATTCACCATTGATTAAATGCATTTGATGTGATGGGAAGGCTGGGTTTCCACATAGACTGGGATTTAGAATTTTAAGTCGCAATCTCTCTCTCCATCACCATCTACCCCATGGATTGGATGGCCTTTGACCATATATTTAATGTGGGCATATGTGCCATACTATACTTTCCCAACCATGACTATAGGACTGTGTTGTCATTTTCCGAAGCTAAATGAGAATGGTAAAACAGGAAAGAACTGATGGTATTTTAGTCATTTATCACTTAAATGTATGCTGATGAAGCTTCTATAGGGCCTAGGCTTTATGAAAGCAAAATACAGCGTCACCTCAAATCCTCATATGGAAACCACATCTGGAATTAAAAATCTTCACTCTAAAATTAATTTCCAAAAAATAAAATTTTTTTGACACTTAAAAAATCTTGTAGATGTGTGAACACGTATTTTTAGGGCTGCTAAATGGATGGTTTAGATGATTTGTTTCAACATTCACTTAATTTTAGAATTTGAAATCCTAATTTTCTTGCACAACTATAATATTCGATGATGGATTTAAAGGTTTTTCAGCACTTTGAACTGCAATTTTTGAAGAGATATGTGGTGAGGTTTTACTTAGTTTGATAGGGCTGCAGCCCTATCAAACGATATTCCCATGCAAACTCAATTCAATTCCCTTGCAAGTCTTCTACCTCTTAAGTCAAAGGACTTCGTTTTCAATTCCAGAAAAAAGAAACAATTCTAGAGAGAGAGAGAAGAGCTGCAATGGATGAGAAGTTCAAAATTCGCCATCATACCGTTGAAAATAAAATCGTGCTGAGCCATGACTTAATTCAAGCAGCTGAATGTCTAATACTGTGCTGTAATTCTACCTTTCATTTTTGGGGTGACTAATTGCAAAGCTTTCTCTCTCTAGCACTTTGGATTCTTGCTTTTCTCTCTCTAGTAAGTCTTTAGAATTGGTTGCAAACTTGCAATTGGGGAACATCTAGCCCCTCGTGTATTTGGATTTCAGAATTTGATGATGAATTGGATCGATAGAGCAGAATTTTGGCTTGGGTTTTGGAAAATTGTTGTAGAATTGTAGAAAAATATGAGAAGTGGGGGAGATCTGGCCTTCTCTGCACTCGGTTTAGTTGATGAGATCCAAGATTTGTTTGTAGTTGGGTTTTCAGAATCTGTTTTAAGAGCTTACCCTGGCATAACTTACTGGGTTGACCATGGGATTAGTTATTGTGATTTGAAGAGCAGTTATGGAGTCTATCTCTATGGTATGATTTTTAGTTAATCCATTTTTTGCCGACTTAAAACGGAGATTGAGGAGCTTCTTGTTTTTGATTGTTGAGAGTGAGGAGCATTTGAGGCAAGGATTTCGGACTCTCTGTCTATGTTTTGATGATATACATCTTTAAAAATTTGAAGAATTTGTTGAGAGAGTGTTCCGGAGTCGGAAAATTAAGGACTCCTTCCCCACTCATACTCTTAATGGTTTGGATCAATTTGTTAGTAGGAACCCTTCTTTTCTTCTGGTTTTTGAGTTAGCTGTAGAAAGAGAATTACGAGTTTTTGTTTCAGAGTTTTGAGATTAGTATATTTAGTTATACAACTTATTGATGTTGTTCTTGTAGTGGAATTATTTTTGATACTTTCTCTGGTTTTACCTTTAACCCTCTCGGTTCATATAGTTTCTTTTCTTTCGTTGTAATATTCACAGGGAATTTAGTATTTTATTGACACATCGTTCTTTTAACATTCTGTACTCTATATCCTTTTTTCATGTCTCTTCTCTATGATTTCTCATAACATAAAAATTGCAGAAGTATCCAGTGATTGGGAACTTAATTTTAGTTTCACTTGGCTTAAGAATTCTTTGTGATTAACTCCACCTTTCTGCTGGTTCCTTATACTTGTTGCAATTTCACTGAGAAATGGGGATATTCTGATTAGACTTTTCCAAACCATTCCAATTTTTGGGGTCTGTTATGGCTTTTGTGGAACACAGTAAATGGATCATCTTTCTTTTTCTCGCCATGGCTGCGATCTCTTTTCAAGTTTCAAATGGTGACCCAAGAACAGGCATTGCAGCAATTATTTGTGGCACTGAAATGGCAGAGAATGGTGCAATTCTAGCTAAAACGTTTGTGCCTGGAATGGAGAATTTGAGTACCATGATTAACCAAGATGGTTTTGGAACTGCAGTTGTGGGGTCGGGTCCAAATGCCTTTTATGGATTGGCTCAGTGTATGAAAGACCTTAACTCCATCGATTGTAGGCTATGCTATTCTGAAATGAGATCTCTGCTTCCAACCTGTTACCCCAAAACCGGGGGTAGGATCTTCTTAGATGGGTGTTTTGCTAGATATGAGAACTACTCGTTCTTTGATCAAGCCATGGATAAATCAGATACTAAGGTTTGTTATACTGGTAGAAATAGCACAAGGCCTGAAGCTTTTCAAAATCTTGTTCGAGAGGTAGTTGGAAATGTGAGCTCAGAGGCTCAGAAAAGAAATGGGTCCAGCGTGAATTCGATTTCTGATTCAAATTTGGTGGTCTATGCTTTGGCTCAGTGTTGGGAAAGCATTAACACGAGCCTTTGTAAAAGCTGCCTCGAAGATGCAGCCATGGCTGTGGTCTCTTGCACCCCTGGGACTGAGGGACGTGCCCTTAATGCAGGGTGCTATCTGCGCTACTCTACGAGTCTCTTTTGGAATGTGTATGCCACAGATGTTCAGTCATCGGGTGTGCTCAAAAACTCTCTCTCTCTCTCTCTCTCTCTCTCTCTCTCTCTCTCTCTGGACAGCATGTAAGATTTACTGTTTGGTTTGGTTTATTTTTTCAGACAGTTGATATTGACTGTTATCCATTTCTGAATGCTATCGGTGGTAGTAGAATTCTTACAGTTTGATTACTAGATATAACATTTATGCCTGATTGAGACTTGTTTTGAAATACTGTAAATCCATTTTTGATTGATATGTAAGGGTTCCTGTAAACTAGTTTGTAATAGTTGAAGTTTCTCTCATTTCAAATAGCACAAAGCTAACTATATTTACAAAAAAAAAAAAAGAGCCCTTCTAGATGCATGTGTAGTGTGATTGTTTTCATATATGGGACTTGGAATCTATTGCTGGACCAATGTGTTTCTGAAGTTCTCTAACTGATCAGTGCTGGAGTTCTCTAAGTTTCTTGGAGTGACACTACACTTAAAAGCTATTTGGTTCTTATATTTCAAAACAATTTAAAATTGTTAACTGTAGTTATGTTAACTGTTTCTTGCTATGGTTATTACTTTTTCTCTCAGCTTTTTTTTCACTGTTTTGTGTTGAAACTGCAATATTTTCTGGTCTTTTCTTTGAAGATATCAGTCCAAATTTTCAGGGAAAAGCAAGACCTTCTGGATCATTTTGGCAGCTGTTCTCGCTGGTATTTTGCTGATATCAGGAATTCTGATTTGGAAGACTACAAATGTTTGTAGCAGATCGAAATCGAGAACTCTAAGAGGTAAGCGAAAGTTTCATGTAAAAAGCACAAAAAGAATGGATTAGAAACAGAAGGATTGTGCAATAAAATTGTGCATGGATGCCTTAATCTATATAAAATTGAATATTTAATTTCTTTAAAGAAAACAAAAATTTTACCCTCTGAAATTGATTCCAGAATTGTATGGGTCAGGATTATCTTCTTTTTCCGATTCCAGGCTCACTTTTAAGTACCGAGAACTTAAACATGCCACTGGAAATTTTGATAATGCAAATAAGCTTGGACAAGGAGGTTATGGTACTGTTTACAAGGTAACGACTACTTAATCATTGTGTTTCTTAATAGGAAATCTTACTGCATGTTCTCGTAAGTTTCTATTTTCCTTTTTTCTTGGACTTCTGTTAAGTTTGAGAAACTGAAAAGCTATTTTTTCCTCAGGGTGTACTTTCTGATGGGAGAGAAGTTGCTGTGAAGAGGCTGTTTCTCAATACGAGACAGTGGATTAATCAATTTTTCAATGAGGTGGATCTGACAAACAGGGTTCGGCATAAAAATTTAGTGAAGTTGTTGGGTTGCAGCATAGATGGTCCTGAGAGCCTTCTTGTTTATGAATTCTATGTCAACAAGAGTCTGGATAATTTCATATTTGGTATCCTCTTTTGCTTTATAATACCCATTTCGCTGCTATAATTACAATGATAGTAGTCTTTATATTTCAGCCACACACAGAGAGAGAGAGAGAGAGAGAGAGAGAGAGAGAGAGAGAGAGAGAGAGAGAGAGAGAGAGAGAGAGAGAGAGAGAGAGAGAGAGAGTAGACGTAGTAGAGTAGACGAGAGTAGTAGTAGTACGTAGAGTAGAGTAGTAGTAGTAGTAGTAGTAGTAGTAGTAGTAGTAGT